AACTCATAAAAGTATGATATGGAGCAAATAATACAAGAAATGTTGAAAAATTAAGAATGTTTTTCTTTAGATTAGTCTCAAATTAAATCATATCAGATCAAATTAAAATTTAAACAGATCATACTAGACCACACAAATTAGACTTTGCGAGTTATAAAATACAAATATACCAAACATCTAATCATACTTCCTTTTTAATTGCAACAGTCAAAATTTCACGCTTGTCAACGCACGAGTTTGACCATTAATATCTTTCATTCCTTATTAGTAAAAAATTAAAAAAAAATCATATTCTGAAACTTTAGAATGAGAAGAATTTAACAATATTTTTTAAAAATTTAATGTATAATACATTAATAAATAAAATATAGTCAAAGTAGAATATGTGAATAGTGCAAAAAGTCCAATGTTGCAATTAAAAGAGAACGGAGGTAGTATATCATATTTGATAAGTTCTGATAAGACTAGATCGGATCGGCCGGATCGGACTTAAACATACTAGATCAGATCATGACAAGTCAGACTAGACTAGAAAATTTCAATTAAATAAAAATATCCGAACTTGCACGTTATACCAGATTCATATATGATATGGTTTCATATATTTTTCACCAAATTGCTACCCAAATAGGCGAAATCCCATGCAAATAATCAAAATGAAATTAATTGATCAAATCAAATTATATTTTGTGATAATGAAGAGTGAAAATCAATTGGCAATTTCCAGATTTTTTTACTTGGATCAGTTTCAGCCTCGACCACACTTTAATAGACCAGATCAGATTCTGAAAGTTGTAAAATACGCATCGTTCGGACATCAACTAGACAATACAGATAAGTTTAGATCAGACTAGATTAGTTTAGACCAGATTTAAACACACCAGACCAAAAATTTCGATTCAAGTAAGAAAAATCCTAATTTTTAACTACAGTAATTATTATTTACGAATAATCACGTATTTATGAAATGTGCTGTTTTTAATTTGCAGGGACGATCAAATATTGTTGAACGGAATATTTTTTTATGGGTTCAATGCTGTATTTTCAATGGCTTCCCGGTTGCCCATGTGGCGGACAGACGGCGTATTAATGACCGTAATCTTACACGCCGGTCCGGTGGAGTTCCTTTATTATTGGCTACATAGAGCTTTGCACCACCATTTTCTCTACTCTCGTTACCACTCACACCACCACTCTTCCATCGTTACTGAGCCTATTACTTGTATGTAACTAAAATCATCTCACTATCACATTAAAATTAAAGCAAGTCCTTTCTTATAATTTACGATTTCAATAAATTATTTGAGCCGGTTTGGTTATAATTGAAATAGGTTGAATTGATTGAAATGACTGAAACCATAGTTCAAACGGAATAATTTGTCTAAATATACACGAAGTAAAAAAATACGTACTAGTACTACATACGAAGTATGTGGTAGTATATTACAAAGAAAATTAGTCTTTAATTAACCAATAAAATGCGGATCGACTAGTCCTCAACCACTTAAAAGATAATCGTCAACCAATAAATGAAAAAGTGATTAGAAAAAATACAATCAAATAAAATAGCCTTCTTCAACCCAACCAATAAAAAAGTAAAATGAGCGGAAAAATGAGCGAAATAAAAAAAATCGTGAAAATTAAAGTTTCATGATAAGATCTAACATTCGAATAAGGATTACCAAACCGGCTCTTACGTATTTATTTATTTATTTATTTAGTGACGATTGTACATGTGTTTATGTGTGATGGCATGCAGCTGTAGTTCATCCATTTGGAGAGCACTTGGCATATTTTTTGTTATTCGCAATTCCGACTTTGACAACAGTGTTCACAGGAACCGCCTCTATTATTGGAATTTTCGGATACATCTTTTACATTGATGTGATGAATAATTTGGGACATTGCAATTTTGAGCTCATACCCAAGTGGCTCTTCTTCCTCTTCCCCCCTCTCAAGTACCTCATGTATACGCCCACGTAAGTTTTAATAAAAATACACTACTTAGGTACTTATTACAACAACAGAAATAACAAAGCTAGGTCGATGACATAGGATATGATGAAATTTGTTGATTAGTTATGTTCATGGGAGGATAGACTAAGGTAGGCCGAAGCTCAAAGTAACTTAATTCTTTTAATATTTTAGTATAATTTTTTCATTTGTCATATTTAACACACCCCGCTAATGTTTACTGTTCAATCCATAATTGACATGTATTATCATTAATTAAACAAAAATGTTGATGGAATGGATAATGAAAGTATGTCCGTGCAGGTATCATTCCTTGCACCACACTCAATTTCGAACAAATTATTCACTCTTCATGCCCTTCTACGATTACATGTATGGGACAATGGACAAGTCAACGGACACATTGTACGAAGCATCTCTCAAAAAAGGAGAAGACTCCCCCGACTGGGTCCATCTAACGCATTTTACCACTCCAGATTCTGTATACTTTTTAAGAGTTGGGTTTGCTTCTTGGGCATCCCTGCCCCAAACACATAAGTGGTTCATTTGGTTGATGTCGCCTATCACATTTTGGACCATGGTCGTCAACTGGATCTATGGTCAAACATTCATCCTAGAGAGAAATGTTTTGGACAAAACCAGCTTACAGTCATGGGTCATACCAAAGTACAATGTTCAGGTATGCACATACTTCGTTACATATGTGTCACAAAGTGACATTGTACTCGTAATTAATTAAATACTTATATGTGTGTGTGCGCTATAGTGAAACCCCTTTCAGAATGACAATTTTGAAACTCATTTTTCATATTTCTAGTCAATGGGTAAAATTTGTAATGTGCCATTTGTTTTTCGTGAATTCAAAAAGATCCTGTTTGAACTCATGATAATTACAAAAAACACCATATTTTGCTAACGTTTAATTATTTATTTACTTATTTACGTTTTTTTAGTATGCACTTAAATGGCAATCACAAGCGATCAACAACTTGATTGAAGAAGCCATACTAGCAGCAGAAGCAAGAGGTGCCAAAGTTTTGAGCTTGGGACTTCTCAACCAGGCAAGTCACTCCATGATCTTCTTTATACACTAAGATTATGGTAGGCTAAAGTCTGAGTAACCTAATTTAAAAAAAAAAATATAGTGTAATCGATCTTATTTCATTTTTGCAAAATAAATTAGCGCATCCAGCTATTGTTCAAACCTTTTATTAGAATTCTTCAACCCAATCTAACCTAGATTCCTTGATCCGCCTTATATATATTGACAATCGTGAGTATGTTTTAATTTGCTTGTTTCATAAGCTCCCGTTTGAAAAATCTACGATAGGTTGATCTGACCTTATTATGTACTCAAGTGAAAGAGGTGCATGTAAATATGTAATTAGTAATGAGAAAGTTTAATTTATTCTCAGAGTGAAGAACTCAACAGAAATGGCGAGATTTACATCCAAAAGTATCCTAAAATGAAAATTAAGTTGGTGGATGGAAGCAGCTTGGCAAGTGCAATAGTGGTCAACACAATCCCAAAGGAAACGACAGAAGTCCGACTTACAGGCAGACTCACCAAAGTTTCCATCTCAGTAGCTTTTGCATTAGGTAAAAAAGGCATCAAGGTAATTATTAAACTTGCCCATTTATTATGTTATATTATACTACGGGTATTGAACTATATATTCCCTCTCGACCGACAACTGAAATCCATTTTAATTACTTCGATCCAGGTCATTATTTCATCTGAAAATGATTACGAGAAGCTTAAGCTGGCTGTGAATTGCGGGAGTAATTTTTCCATGTCAAAGAGTTTCACGCAAAAGGTGAAATCACATTCACCGTCTCAAAATGTGATCAAATTTGATTTTTTAAAGATATTAATTTAATGTACTTTACAATGAAAGATATGGGTAGTTGGAGAAAGATTATCGAAAGAAGAACAAAAGATGGCAAATAAAGGAACATTTTTCATCCCATATTCCCAAATCCCTCCTAAGAAACTGCGTCGGGACTGTTACTACCATCACACCCCAGCAATGTTGGCCCCACCATCTCTCCACAACTTGCATGCTTGTGAGGTACATGTCATGTATTTGACATTTTTAATTACTTAATTCGATCTACGTACGTATGTACAATTTGTTACAAGTTTACAACAATGTTTGACATGCAATTAGCATGTTAACAACTTTCTTGAATTGTGCAGAATTGGCTGCCGAGGAGGGCAATGAGTGCCACGAGAGTGGGAGGGATTGTGCACGCCTTGGAAGGGTGGAATGTGCACGATTGCGGTGAGAAAATGCCAATGGATATTGACAAAGTTTGGCAAGCCACCCTTAGCCATGGTTTCCGACCACTTCCATTGAAAGATAGCGCCATTGTTGGTGCCTGATCGATTCCATATTTTTACCATCAAATCTCTCTGTATACTTGCTTTTTATTCCATTTGATTTATATCCTCTCAATCCTTAAAAACTCTTAATTTATTATTATTATGATAATTATTAAAACTACTACTATTATATGTACCACAGTATGACTTCTTTTTGTTCCGACACAAAATCTATATGTAATGAATCTGATAGGTTTTCTTTATTAGAAACGATGGTTAATGTAATTTTGAGTTGGCTTGTTGACTAGTCTTGGAATAGTGGTTTTTGTCCGTTGCTTGAGCCCAATTTTCAAGTTCAAGATCAAAACATTTCCTGATTTTTTTTAATGAACCTTTCCTGAATTATGTGACAAGTCCAGTTCAAGACCTGGTTTCAGACCAATGCAAAATAGATTTAAAAGCCATAATAAGAACCAACTCTAGAACTGTAATCAAAACCGAACTGGGTATGCCGTAGAACGGCTGCAAATAGTTATGACTTGTAAGTTGTAACTTTGGAGTAATGGAGTTTGGATCCGGGATCAGACCGAGTGCAACCTTGGATTTTTTTTCTCCTATGTTTTATTCAAAATGAAATATGCAATAACTGGATGGATAAGTAGTGGATAACTTTCATGCAACATCAAGACGTAAATTGAGGGTAAGATATATCGAAATCATCCGGGGCCAAATTTATACAAAGAGCTCGCCAACAAATTATTTTTCCTTAACCATTTAAAGATAATGATTGATGATAATGATCAAATATGTCCAAATCAAATCAAATATAGCGCGTGGATGACACAAATAATGCATTACAGGTTTATAGCGATAATAAAACATTTTATTTCTTAGAATTGTCCGAAATGACAAAAACCAAAATAACAAAGAGGTAAGTACGAACCTCGTCAGACTTCAACATGGTTCAAATATATCAAAATCTTTATCTTATATTTCACTTTCTCTATAAGCATAACAGAACAAAAACCAATCCCAATTCTTCATGCAATGCCACACTGAATTGGTACACAAATCAAATCCTTAAACCGCAACCTGTAACGCATAATAAAATCTGTCACGGCTCTAACATTAAAGTCTTAAAACAGAAACCAAAGACACCGAATAAATGAATTATGAATGGAAGAGATTTGAACTGTGAAAGCAGTAGTCCTATATTTGATATTTTAGGGTGTGTTTGGAAGTTGGTTTTTGGGGGAGGGGAAGACATGTGAGGGTTGATGATCCTATGTTGGAGTTCAAAAAATGTGGAGGAATGGTTTTGAAAGGTTTTTGTAGCCCTTCAAAACCCCTCAAATGCTCAATTTTTAGGTTCCTCTAAATGGAGGGTTTGAGGGATATCATCATCATCATCATCATCATTACTCCAATGCTGCAAAGGCTCCCACCTACGGTGGGGTAAGGGGGGTCGGATGTACGCAGCCTTACCCTTGTACTAAAGCACAGAGAGACTGTTTCCGAATGACCCAAGGTGAAAAAGCACGACGAAAATCGCATGGCCTAACTACTGCTTCATAATAAAGAAGCGCAGACAGTTTAGTGAACCATTTTGCTTTATTCCATCATTTTCTAAACCAAAAAATAATTTATCTTTGGCTTTATTGCAAATGATGGAAACTAAATGATAATGTAACTAAATGATAATGTAAGCTCAATTTAAAGTGAACATCAGTTCAAGTATTTGCATTCAATTATAATTCCTTCAAAGACTCTTTTTTCAAATAAGAAGAAGGGTTTCTTCATCTTCCCTTCATTTTTCCCTCCAACAATTGATCTTCAAAGCATTCCCTTCGCCTCCCCCTAAACTCCGAAACATACCCTTAGTCTTTTACATGGGCAGTTCCCCGAAATAGAGAGCAATCTATTTATTTATAAGAATTTCACCAGTTGAGGTTTTAGGAGGGGCCGATAAGAATTTCACCATCTAAGGTTCTAAGTAAATAGATAGCAATTTTTATCAATTACTCCATATGAGTAATGGTATCAATTAACCGAGACACGAGCATGCAACAACAAACAACAAGTCAATAACATTCAATCCTTAATCCCAAAAGTATTTGAAGTCGGCTAACATGAATCGATCCATGATATCAGTGTGAAAAAGAGAAGAAAGATAAAAGGAAAAAAAAGGTAAGATAAAATGGATAAATATACATATAAGATAACAGTAACATAAGAATATAAGAAAGATAAAAAATAAAAAGATAAAGAGCATAAAAAATAAAAATAACATAAGAAACATAAAAAGGTAATGAAGATAAACGATTAAAGAAAAATAAAGAAGAAAAGATAGAAAAGAGATCACTCGTCCACACAAATGTGCACCCTCCACTTTGCTCTCTCCAAAGCCACACTTTCAACCAACCCAAGAAGACGCATATCAGTTCTAATTCCTCTAATCCAAGCATAAAACCAAGGAGAAGTGAGAAAATGTAAACATGGTAATTATAGGAGAAGTGTTTTTAGAAGAAGAGGCTATAATCTTTTAGAAACCAATGAAGAAAAAAACCATATCTAGCCATGCATTTTTTCATGTGTTTTTTAAGACTCAAAACTTAAACTTGAATACAAACATTGGATAAACTCTATCAATGGTTTTGTTTGAGCGTTAATAAATGTATTTTCAATTTTATCCAAAAGAAGTTAAAAACAGTGATGTAAAAACAATGTGATCTTGAGCCACCACTCTAAGACATGTTTTTTATATACCATCTCACTATATTAATTTTCTTAGATAAGCGACTAAGAACTTTTTTCTGCCATGTATCACCAAAATTCTTTCCTCATACCATATTTCTTTGTTAAAGGGCCAGGCTTATAAGAGGATCTTTTAGGAAATCTATTAAAAGTCTAGGAGAAGCTATCTGGTTTGTTTTTTTATTAAATTTAAAATTCCATAGATAAATGATAGGTATACATAAATCTGGAGATGAATTGTTGAATATGAAAACTGAAATTGAAGAAACTGAAAAGTAACAATACAGATGAGGCAAGTTTGAGAGTGCCTCGTCTCTCCAAGTCCCAGTCCAGTCCAAGTTCCGCCTACCCTCTCCCTCTTCTATTCCCTCTATTTATTCTTTTACAAATGAGGCTTCCCTCAATCTATATAAGTAATTGGCCCAGCCCACTATTACATTTTATTAAAATATTAAGCCCAAAAGTCCAGGTCTCTATAATCACCCCCTGACAACCACTTTGTCCTCAAGGTGGGGAGTAAGAGCAGCCATGACATCCAGCTTCATCCTCGTGCCTCTTCCTTCCCAGTACCTTACTGTTTTACCTTACTGTTTGCTGGACAAGGGGCTGCTTGAATCTTCCTCCTCACTTCTAGCAAAAGAATCAACAGATCATCTACCTTTAGAGCATCAGTCCTATTCGGGTGGCTTTGTTCTTGCTGGAACTGAGCTTTATCAATCACCAAGTGCTCACTCTTACATTTGCTAACAGCTCTTGCCTCCAGATATAACCTCAGTCCTGGGGTCTCAGTTGCTTCACTCATGGGAATTGTAGCATCTGACAGAAGTATCCACCAGGACTGATAAGAAGAACCGCAAAAACATCAAATAACTGACTAAGAACAAGGGTAGATTCCAATGTAGAAGTATTAGCGGAATTTTTCCAATAGTATTCATGTGACTCCGAATTGATAGGCGCAAGCAATCTCATGAATGGTGCATAACATGTTGTTTCGATTGTGGATAACAAACTGGCATAAGGAAACTCTGCAAGATACTCTTCTCCATTTGCCAACTGCTTTAAACCCTTTTTATGCATTTCAGAATCACTAAAAGGCTGCCTCCCAACTTCAGAGAAACTTGTTGCAGGTTGCAGCTTTATTACTAGCAAATTAGTAGGTGAAAATCCATGCACATGGCTTATAACTTTTCGTGCTGCTTCCTCCACAAAAGCTATTCTCCACTTAATAACCAAGTCCCTGATGTAGTCCCATCGTACTGCGTTAAAAGCAATAACTGGGTAGCACAACATACAAACACCATCAGCTTTAGTCAAACAGTTGGAAGAACCTTCTAGTAAGGCAGGCATAGAAACTGGATTTCCAGTATAAGCCATCCACCTAACACCAACAGCAAGAGGTCCAATGCCCATGTTTCCAGTTCCCGAACAGCCCCTAGCAACAGGGTTTGTGACAAGATTACAACCCTTTTCTAAATCTGCTTCACTACAACAGTGTATCTGAGCCTCTGGTAGGACAGTAACCACTCTAGAGCTGCACCTCACAGGATGAACAACTGATCTGAACTTCACATGAAGTGCACAAGAGTGAAATCTCAAGTAATAAAACTGAACAATAGTTAGAACATCAGCACAAATTATCAACAATGGCCAACTATTAGCAATTGCATCCATATTTTGCTTAGACGAAATTGGATTGGGTGAACTTTGCATGTATGGAACAGTACAATCCTGCTTGGAAACTAAATTTTGAACACCACCAAGTTCTTCCACATTCCAAACTTGGAAATCATACCGACAGCATAAAAGCAAGACTTGGCGGTTTATACCTCCCTCAACATTACAGGTAAGTGTCCTTCCTTTCAATCCTTCCACCCCATGCTGAGGTTTGTACATACAGCCTCCTTTTTCCTTCCATCCCCTCTTCTCTTCATCTCTGAATTTCAATATTGTGCCTACCCGTTCAAAGCTAAACATTAGTGCAAATGAATTTTGTCCCATTCTGGTTGAGTCATGTTAACTGCTTCCTTCACAGGTTTCCAGGTATAAGCAGTTGTCTGCTCCTTCCCCCACTAAAACATATTCAGTGCTTTCTCTTTCATTGCGATCATAGTAGACTCCCTCTTCTCCTCATCTGCAGTAGTTGTGACTTATCTGATCCTCCAGTTGCCTTGACAGTTGCTCTTCCACTTTACCCGAACGAATTCCATTTTCATCCACCTCAGGCAGTTTCAAATCTTCCAGATAATTTGGAGGATATCCGGTAGTTTGAGTCGAATCATCATCCGGATCTGTTTCCTTGATTGATGGTTCAGACAGCCTCAACTTCATTGTGAGCGATGAAATTTGAGCATTGTGAGAAGAGGCGTGCGATGAAACCTGCAAATTGGGGAGATCTGTTTGCGATGAAATCTAAGAATTTGAAGTAAATGTTCGCTGCGAAGCTGGCCAACATGATGAAGCTGCTGGCGATGAAGATAGGCGAGGCGAAACAGATCGCAATGAATTGGGAGACGACAAGGTTCCAGACTGAAACTGGTTGAAGCTAGAGATGAAGTCAGCGAACTGGGAGATGAAGTTAGCGATTGCGAACTGGAATAAGTTGGCCAACGGCATCTAGGAGGGCTCCTCGCTTGGCCTCTAGTTCTCTGGCAAAATTGTTGACGCAGCTCCGTGCGAAACTCGTCCAACCAGATCCTCCATTTTTCCTCCCAATCACTTTCTACCTTTTCCTTGTTATCTGCGCTCTTCTCCTTGTTCACACACTTCTCCAGGTTCACGCACTTCTCAAAGTTCGCGCACTTCTCCAAGTTCGAGTGATTCTCCCTGTTTGAGTGCTTCTTCAATTTTATGCGTGAAGCATCCTGATTGGATCTTCTATGCGGCATGAGCTTCTCCTTCTCCAGGTTCGAACGCTTCTCCAGGTGTCCGCCCGAACCAAAGGCATCCAGTTCTGACCGTCTCTGTTCCCTGCTCAGCGACCATCTTTGTTTGTTTGTGTCTCAGCATCGCGTATTACTTATTCTCCTCTTCCGCAATAGAGACTGTGACGATCAATTGAGACTCCAGGAGCGAGTGCACTGATACCAATGATAGGTATACACAAATCTGGAGATGAATTGTTGAATATGAAAACTGAATTTGAAGAAACTGAAAAGTAACGATACAAATGAGGCAAGTTTGAGAGTGCCTCGTCTCTCCCAAGTCCCGTTCCAGTCCAAGTTCTTCCTACCCTCTCCCTCTTCTATTCCCTCTATTTATTCTTTTCCAAATGAAGCTTCCCTCAATCTATCTAATTAATTGGCCCAGCCCACTATTACATTTTATTAAAATATTAAGCCCAAAAGTCCAGGTCTCTATCAATAAACCCTCATGTTAATTTCTTCACAAGTTCTTTCAGTGGAGTAACCCTCCCCTCCATCCTTCATTTCATTTATTCCACTATTATCAACAAGTTTGTATAGCTTCTAACAAATCACAATAAAAACTCACATATACCTGTGTATTTCTCAATATCATTTTCCAATCATAGCAAGCAATCATAATTCTCTAAACAGCATAATAATAATGATTTACCTTTGCACCAGATGGAGTAAACACAGCTTTAACCGCTTCAAAAACTTCATCAACTGGCTTGGCAGCATCAATCTGAAAAGCAGCACAATATATTGGTGTCTGGTAGGCTCATTTTTCCTTTTAAGTTAAAAAGTGAAAATTCATACCCTATGAACCTTCCCCTTTGACTTGTAATACTCGATAACAGGAAGACTAGACTCCATGTAGACATTAAACCGCTTCCTTATTGTTTCTATATTGTCATCTTCTCTTCCCTTCATATTATGCAATGCAAAAACTCACAAAACAAGAACAGTGAAATGAAAAAAGTCACACTTTAAAAAATATTAGAAATTGCTATTATATATAGAAACCTGATTCCGGCATAATAAGCGGCTCTCCATCTCTTCTTCGGAACAGTCAAAGAAGAGGACAAATTCTGGCAGAGTTCCAGTCTGCAAGGCATCAGACATTATTTCCATGTACATCACAAAAATGGCAGAATACCTGATGAGTGATGACTATGCTGCTGGATGATAACAGCAATGCATATTGTAATTTAAAATAAACTTACAACACGCTCAAAAGCTTCTCGATTTTCTTCATTACGAGGGAATCCATCAATAAGAAACTTGTCGTTCTCATTTTCATGTATAGCTCGTTGGAGGAGAGCAATAGTTACTTCAGAAGGCACAATTTTTCCTTCTTTGATCATGTTCTGAATCATTGTACTATACATGAAAATTAAAACGAACAGTTTCAAATCATAAGATTAGAAGATACTGAAGAAAAAGAAATAGAACTCTAAAATTACTAAATCACAATAAATCTCCACAATTCCCATGAATATACAAATTCCAGGACTATTTGGTTCATTATATAAATTTAACCAAGTTATTGTGTTTTATGGACTCACCCCTTGCAATGTTTTCTGACTTTTCTTTTCTCTACTCTCTCCCTCTCTTGACAAACTTGAAGCATCCAAGAATAGTGTTTAGAAGCATATTTCTTCCTAAGCTGCTTGCATTTTATTGAGAATATTGGGACCCATATTATTTCTATTATTAAAATGTGTAATGTTACCCAGTACGTAGCATGTGTGTGTGTGGGTTGCATGATGTGTGTATGGGTTGCATGATGTGCATGGCCCTCTATTATTTCCTCTCTATTATTCACATCCACCATATGTAGTATATATGTGAGATGCATGTAACGTAAGACAGTGTACGAGTGAGAAGTATTATTTCCTCTATATGAAATCTAGCACATTTACTATCAGTTCTTATTTTTATCATTAATCCTTGATTTTATCATGGTATCAGAGCTGAAACCTGGTAGTCATAACATTAGATATTTTTGAGAGTATTTGTTTTTAGTCCTCACATCGGTACGATGGGAATACCTCCCCACACCCATAGTTTTTTTTTTAGAATAACCCCACACCCGTAGTTGGATCATTGATTCTGCCGCAAGTGAGCATATCACTTGTGATGGTACAGATCTTTTCAATACGTTCACTCATCCGTCTGAACCATCAGTGAGAATTCCTAATGGTGAATCAGTTCCAGTTTCTGCCGTTGGTAGCTTGTATCTGCCTAATGGATTTCATCTTCAACGTGTTCTTTATGTTCCACAATTTCAATGAAACTTGCTTTCCGTGAGCCGCCTCACAAGTGATCTAAACTGCACACTCACATTTTTCTCAGATTTTTGTATATTATAAGATATACCTTCCAAAAATATAATTGGTAAAGGTAGATTCCACAATGGTCTATACTATCTAGAATCAACACAAGGTGAAGGGATGGCAATGACAACTACTTTTGATTCCGATTTATGGCACCGGCGTCTGAGTCATGCTTCAAGTGGAAAGTTACAACACATCACAATTGTCAAAGGCATGCGACAGAATAATAACTTTTGTGATCCTTGCTTGCGAGCTAAACAAACTCCCAAGAGTACAAGTGAGACTACTTGTTGTTTTGAATTAATACATTGCGATATATGGGGAAGTTATCGGTGTGACTCTACATCAGGAGCACGATATTTCTTATCCATCGTCGATGACTTCACCCGAGGTGTTTGGGTTTATCTTATGAGGAATAAATCTGAAGTTTGTCAAAAATTGATGCAATTTTGCAACTTAGTAGAAACTCAATTTGAGAAACGTGTTAAACGCATACGTTCAGATAACGGATTGGAATTTCAAACCAAAATCTTATCTGAATATTATGCGAGTTGTGGAATTATTTTGGAAACGTCATGCACGGATACCCTCCAACAAAATGGGGTTGTGGAGCCTAAGCATATGCATATTTTAGAGGTAGCCCGGGCCCTCCGTTTTCAGTCTGGGTTACCTATTGATTTTTGGGGAGAATGTATTCTTACTGCCGTTTACATTATCAATCGGCTACCGTCACCTATTATTTCAAGCAAAAGCCCTTATGAAATGTTATTTGGGAAGGAACCCAATTATGAACATTTACGAGTTTTTGGGTGTTTGGTGTATGCACATAATAACAAACGTAAGGACAAGTTTGGCGAAAGGGGGAGTCCTTGTATATTTCTTGGGTATCCCTACGGCCAAAAGGCTTACAAAGTATTTGATTTACAGACACAGAACATTTTCAGCTCCCGAGATGTAACCTTTATTGAGGGAGGGTGAATTTCCATTTAAAATGGTAAATCAAGAAGAGCTTGATTTTGAAAAGATCGTTGACAGTACAACAACAACAACAACAACAACAACATCCAAGCCTTAGTCCCAAACGATATTGGGGTCGGCTAACATGAATCGATACATGATATCACCAAAAGGAAAAGAAAGAAAATAAAGATAAAAAAGATAAGCTATTATAAAAAAAGATAATATAAAAGAGATGAATATACATATAAAAGATAAAATAAAAAGGATAAAGTAATATTTATATATAAGGATAAAAATATAAAAGAAAAAGAAAAAAGGGAAAATGGAAACTAATAATCCAACCTTTTAGCGGTCTTCTTTCAATAATCCCACTTTTTGATTATTCATGAATAATCCAACATTTGCACCTCATCTTCATTCACTGGTCCCTGACCGGTTGATGACCTGCTATTCCAAGCTATTTTCTTATCTTTGTAAATCATTATACCATAAATCTCATCTTTCACAAAGATAATATTTTGCAAAGATAAGAAAATAACTTGGAATAGCAGGTCATTAACCGATCAGGGACCAACGAATGAAGATGAGGTGCAAATGTTGGATTATTCATGAATAATCAAAAGGTGGGATTATTGAAAGAAGGCCGCTAAAAGGTTGGATTATTAGTTTCCATTTTCCCAAGAAAAAAAGAAGAAGAAAAAAAAGAGGGGAAAATATCGTTGACAGTGTGTATCAAAAAATTGTGGGTCACAATAGTACACCAACGCCTGAAGCCCAACGTCCCACACTCCACTGTAACCGTGAAACCTTTCAGCGCCAACCAGCAATCGACGGCCTAGACATCATCTGTGGCTATCCATCTGCTGATTACACGCATGGACCCGAGCGCCAACCTGGACACTCTCTCAGTACAGAAGACCGGTGCACCTCTGTAAGCAGCAGTGTGCGCAGAGGAGGTGCAGGCGGGCCAGCCCCTCATCACATCTTACCCGCTGAACCACATGCCCCTCCAGGTACAGATACGGACGCATCTAACCTTCGACCTCATGCTCCTTACACGCCTCTCAGACATGCGAGCCTTCCACAAGGAGTTCACAAAAGCTTAGATAATAGTGAAATTGAACAAAATCTGGAATCCCATTTAACGGGTAATTCATTTGATCTGGCCGGTCAAAACTCACTCCCACCGTCCGTAGATGAAATTAGGAGTGATAGAGTTCGTCGGGCCCCTAAGCATTTATCTGAATTTGAGGTTGACCTGCCGCCCTCTTTGAAACATTCACAATCGACTCCAAATCATGCCGACGTGGTCTATCCAATTTCTAATTTTATCACTTATGAGAAGTTTTCTAGTAAACATAAGGCACATTTGACGGCCATCACTTCACGTGATGAGCTAAAACAATTTTCACAGGCCATTTTGGATCCAAAGTGGCGGGAAGCTATGCAAAGGGAGATTCGTGCACTAGAAGAAAATAATACATTGACCTTGGTTCAGTTGCCGCCGAGGAAGAAAATTATAGACTCTAAATGGATTCTTACTCTAAAGGGAGTAAGAGATGTTTTACCATCTCTTACTCTGTAGGCATGCTAAGTTGACATATATTGGAAAACAAAGTTTCTTTAGTTAATGGATAGCTATTTGAGAACCTAGAGCAACTTAATGTTTAAAAAACAAAATAAAAGTAAGAAAAACTGTAAGAGGAAAATAATATTTCCTCTGTTCTTTTTTAGTTGCAATACTCGCATTTTCACATTTGCCGATGCACAGCTTTGACTATCAATATATTTAATTCTCTACAACAACAACATCCAAACCTTAGTCCCAAAAGAGTTTAGGGTTGGCTGTCAATTTAATTCTCTTCTATTAAAAAAATTATAAATCAGATTTTGAAAATTTGTAATGAGACAAACTCAATAACATTTTTAAAAAAACTCATACATTAACAAATAAACTGTACTTAAAGTAGAGCATGTGAATATTGCAAAACTCAACTTGTTGCAACTAAAAAAGAATGGAGAATAAAATCATTTTTCCAAGATAGGAAGTCAATTTCATGGCGGGTGCTATAGTGGTCGGCAACAAGAGGATGTGCAACATACTAACATGTGTTCAAATTAATGCAAGAATCACTAAGAATACTCCCAAAATTTGATGGAATAATATACCCATGTGTTGAAAACTAGAGATAGAAACATAGAATTCCTTAAATTTTACAAGTTTACAAGTAATGAAAAATCTCTTAATATCTAAAAGCAAAAGAATTTAGTGGAGATGTTTCCCGCTCAAAAATGTCAACATCAAGAGTAATAGATCACATGGGTCTAAAAAAAGTCTAATTGAGAAAGAAAAGTGAACAAAAACAAGACAAGAGGAGACAATTCAATATGAAAGAGAAAACTTGGTATAGATAAATGGAATATAAAGAAGACAAGACAACTCAACATGATGGGATTCAATAAAATAATATAAATTTTAAGAATCTAAAGCTTTTTCATACTTTATACTTCAAAGGGAAGATTCACTATATATATGTTTTTTGTAAAGGAAATATTTAGTAATATATATGTATCAATATGTTAGATATATACAGAGTAAAAAACAAATAATTAATTACAAATCTAAAAGTACATGTGAATAAAAGATTTAAATAAAAGAGGATTCTCTCATGTGAAAAGGCATCAAAAGACATGTGAAAAGTATTTTAATCACTTAATCTCCTAATAATACACAAAAGTAAAAGAAATATGATAAAGCATTCTCCCGCTAAAAATGTCCGCATAAAGAAAAAAAAATATACTCCCTCAAGTTCTTAATGAAGTTTACACTCTCCTTTTTGGGCAGTCCCATATTAAACTTTACACTTCCTTATTTGCCTTATTTGGCAAACAAATCTACACCAAACAGTGCAAAACAGTGCCAAAACAGTGTACTCTATAGTAAAATTTACCCATCAGTAAATTTATTTCCTTAATATGTGTGAAGTTAAAGTGTAAACTTCATTAAGAACCGGAGGGAGTATATGTTCTACAAGATTTCTTATTGAACATAACTAAAAAATAAAAGAAAGTAAATTATTACATCAATCTTTTATCTCTTCATTGACGTGACTACACATGTGGTGTACTATAAAAAATACAAATAAATTATAATCATTTCATTTGATTGCAATGACTTTGACCAATCATTTGTAAAAAAGATTTTCCTTTTAAAAGATCTTGATCGTGAGAAATGCACTGTCCTATCAATCAAAGGCCTAAAATACAATATATTTTGATTTCTTTAGTTTTTTATTTGTTTCATCGCTAACTTTTGATGATTGAAGTTTATTAGTTTAATAAAGCAAAACAATATTTAAAAATTTAAAGTAAAAAATAATAAAGTTCATGATACTTAATACTTTCATCGTTGACTTTACACTTCAAGGACATTTGTTCTCACATGTTGGTTAAGTATTGGAGAAATCCATTTTTTATCAGACACAGTATGTTATTTTGCAGCGTTACAAGTAACAATCGGAAGGAGTTTAAGATTTTGATTTGAAATAAAGACAGACATTCAAGCTATGAAACTATTAATATCGTAAATGAAAAAAGTTTTGCAGAAGATCTTAAATAATTTTGTCCAGCTCATTTAATTGTACTTCAGATTTAATATATATGCCTTTTGTTTAGTTTCATTTTTGGTTGTTCGAATTTATTCCTTTAATTAATGTGTAATTTGGATTTTCTCAACATCACATCAGTATGCACTTGATATATAATATATATTATTATGATTAATTTCCTAGTCAGTTTTTATGAATAATCACTAACCGTGCAATGCACGGGTGATTTACTAGTAAATTTTAATACATCAGTTTGATGATGTACTAAGCAAAGTTTATCCTATAAAAGAAGTTCAAGGAACAAGGACAAATGACAAATACATTTTTCTATTATGATATAATCTTACGATAGACCACAAAAAATCAGATCAGTCCTTGTACTTGTTTTCCAACCATCTTCAAAAACTGAAGGACAACATTGTTGAGTGCCAACAAAAATAATCAGAGAATATGTTTCTAGAAACAAATGTAGTCTTATCACTTCACATAAAAAAAGATTAAATTACCCATTTTCTGAACCAGACTTGATTTCTGCTCGAAGCAGATCTCCAGCACTTAGATGGGTGTATCCAAAATGTTCAACAATTTTTGCACACTGTGTGCCTTTACCACTTCCAGGGCCACCTGCAATGTAAAAGAGTGTCTGAGTGTACATTAATAAAACAAAAGATTATGAATCTTAATAGAAAATGGCTAATGATTCACCAATGAAATTTGAGTTGATCAATATTTCCAAGGTCATAGACACAACCACAATCAAATTCATAAGACCCGATATGCCAAATTGGTCAAGAATTAAATTTCAAGACCCAAGGCACACAACATTAAATTTTAGTTATATGTGAAATGTGAATAGCTTATACTATGATGATGATGATTTAGGGCTTATGGTAAAACTCAGGTACATACCTAGGACAAATACAACCTTAACCTTTTTAGTAGTTGTGCTGCTTCCATTTTCTCCCTGCAATAAAAGAGTATTAATCAAACAAAATTCTAAACATATAAAAAGGTTATTCTGGCTTCAAAATGTTTGTAGGACATCTAAACGACTACATCTGTACAATAACTACCGAAAATTTTTCGCTGCCTTCAGATTTATGCAATTTATGTGAAATATTCAAATTTTCTCACCAATCCAGCAAAAGAACATGAAGCAGTTTTGGAATCTGAAATCCCAGTAATGTCTATGGTAATGAGTGAAGATCTTTTTAATAATCCACAATCTAGAACCCTATGGGATTGAATGGAAAGACGGTTTCAGAGAAGGGTTTTGTTTTACTGATTAGTTTCTATTTGATAGTCTTAAACTAAAATCAATATATGCCGTTCAATAATGCATCTCTACATCATCATCATTACCCCAGTGCCGCAAAGGCTCCCACCTATGGTGGGGTAAGGGGAAGTCGGATGTACGCAGTCTTACCCCTGTACTAAAGCATAGAGAGACTATTTCCGGATGATACATAGTGAAATTCGCGTCGAAAATTACATGGACTGACTACTGCTTCATAACAAAGAAGCGCGCACAGTTTAGTGAGCCCTTTTGCTTTATTCCATCATGTTCCCAAGCCAAAAAATAGTGAGTCTTTGGCTCTGCAAAATGTTGTTCAATAATGCATCTCTATAAAATGTTTCATATAAGCTTTCTCTCAAACCACCCCATCGAAACCCCAAAACCAAAGAAGCTTTTAAAGTCATCAGTAATGGAGGCAGTTGATTATTTCAAATTGTACACATTTCATTGGGGTGGGGTAGGATGATGGGAATATGGGATGTTATTGAGTTTGCAAATACATCGGAAGGGTTACCTTGTTTGCAGAATCAATAGCAGTCCCCATCGCTGGCAGAAAAAGCAATGTTTTGATAAATAATCTGCACACAGTGTCGATATTATGATGAAATTCAAGAGATAAGGCGAAGCAATACTTCATTTATTCTGCTTCGCTCTAGATAAAATCTTTAAATAGGGTAATCACTGAAAAAGTATGTCGATAACAAATACTAAAAGGAATTATCAAGAAAGCAAATGCTAAAAGATCCAGAAATTTAGAATCATAACCATTGTTCTAAAAAAATATTGGAAATTTCAAGGGCTGACGGATTCAGATATAAGGTATTACCCGGTGCAGCTCGTTGCCTCGTCCCTCGTCTCTGCTATGTCTTTTTTCCCGATCCCAATATTAGCAGAGTCGTTGTATTTTGAGCTAATTTAAGAAGGTACTTCCTTAACATCTAACTTTTGATTACAGGAGCATTCAACGGGCGAAATAGTATTAAAAAAAAAGTAAGGACATGTTTACTTCACAGGTTATTAAACGGTGCTTATTAAGACCCGTGTTAATAAGCGGCGCATAAAATAAACAATGTTGTAAGACCGTGTTTACTTCAAACGGTTTAAAACACCGCTTAACATTAAAATGTCCAAAATAACCCTATACATATATATACACACAAACATTCATGAACACAAGTATATAATATAATATGTGTACCCATACCCCTAACCCCTTACTCACCCTACCTTACCCCGACCCCACCCACCGCCTACCCCTACCCTACCTACCTGACCCCACCCTACCTACCCGACCCCACCCTAACCTGTCCCCACCCTACCCTACCCCCGACCCCATAGGCCCCCCATAGGCCCGTAGGGGTAGGGGTAAGGTGGGGTCGGGTAGGTGGGGTAAGGGTAGGGGTGGGGTGGGGGGTGGGGTAGGGTAGGTGGGGTAAGGGTAGGGGTGAGGTGGGGTCGGGGTAGGTGGGGTAAGGGTAGGGTGGGGTCGGGGTGGGGTAGGGTAGGTGGGGTCGAGGTAGGGTGGGGTCAGGGTAGGTGGGGTAAGGGTAGGGTGGGGGTCAGTTAGGTAGGGTAGGGGTGGGGTAGGTAGGGTGGGGTAGGGGTAAGGGTAGGTGATGGAGTATATGGCCCAGGAACCCCCGGCCCGTAGACTCCCACTTCTCCTACACAAGTCCATTGAGCTCAGGAAACAACTCAGGCCCAAATACCGCGGCCCAAGCCTCAAAGCAGCCCAGAATACACACTGGGGTGCCTTCGGCCTCCTTGGCCGAAGGCTCCAAAACTCACAGGATAGCCTTCTCTGGCACAAGAAGCTACTGGAAGAAAACGGGCAAAGACATGAGCCTTCGGCATTCTCATGCCCTCGGCACCAGAGGAGCCCTCGGCTACACAAGGAGCCCTCGGCTACACAAGGAGCCCTCGGCTACACAAGGTGCCTTCGGCTGAACAAGCTCAATCATCGAAGATTCCTTTTAGAGACAGCCAACCACCGCATTTAATGCCACGTCACATCCACCAACCGCATTCAATGCGGTTGACGTACCACTGCCGGTGCCACCAGGCTGATGTGACCCTTCGGCCATTGGATTACTGACACGTGTCCTCTCATCGCATTTATTGCTGCTATAAATAGCAGCCCATTTCTCCTTGTAATGGACATCATCTACATCCCAACTCCACATCTCGAGTTCATTTAATAAAATCGACTCTCTCTCCTCCTATTTACTCCGACTTCTCTCTAAGTTATTCCCGCAATAACCCTTCGGATAAGATACCCCCCGGGTAGACTATCCATCATTTGGTGCTCTCGTTGAGAGGTCTGAACTATCAAGTAAGAAACCCTCCCCCTCTACCAAATACAAAACACTTGCCAAAAGATGGGAAGAACCACTCGTGCCCAATCTAAAACTCTGGAGGAGAACCACGTCGCCCCCGGCGAAACCAACGGGGCTGAGGCCTCCAACAGGCTCTTGGTACCCGAGGGTGGTGTCATCCTTGAGTTGGAGCAGGCTACCGCTGACCTCCGTCAGCAGCTACAGAAGAACGCCCCTGACGCCCGCATTGGCCTTGATAATCGAAGGAGGGATCGGAGTGAGAACCAAGTTCCCCCTCCGGCCCCGGCCATCGATCTTCAGGCAGCCTTTGCGGCCTTTGTTCAGAACATGGCTCTCAATTCCGGGGCCCTCGTCTCTCAGGCTCCCCTTCAGCCTTACGCTGGAGGAAATGTTATTCAATTGCCACCACTCCCCCCTCTGTTCAACAATCCTCCCCCGGGGGTTGGCAACGCCGAGGGAGTCATGGCGCAGGATACCGCCTCCCAAGAGGCCCAGTCCAGGGACAAGCACCCCATGATGAAGGAGAAGCCCCGAACATCTGCACTTGAGAGGCTCGGGGGAGCTCCCGGGCACCGAGTGGTCCAAGACCGCCTCGGGAAACAAGCGCTCAGCAGGCCCCAGGAAAGTGGAGCCTCCGCTTTGGGTGCCGAGGGCGTGCCTCCCCCCCGAAGCAAAGGCAAGGCTCTCCTCCATGCCGATGACGCCAGGCACCAGATCAATCAGGCGCAATCCTTTCGGGCCAACTCCCAAGGGGTTGCCCCGAAGGATCCCAAGGACGAAATCATTGAAGCCCTCCTCCGTCAACTCGAGGAGAATCGTCAGGCACCCCCGACGGCTTCCACAGCGAGGCCAGATCCGGAGTACGCTGACCTCCGGGCACAGGTGGAGGAGATGAAGCGTAAGCTTGCCGAAGGCTCAGGCGAGCCCCTCATTCAACTCCGCACTAGAACACCCTTCACCCCAAGGGTGTTGGCGGCCAAAATCCCCCACAAATATCGCGGGCAACCCATCAAACCGTATGAGGGGAAGACAGACCCCCAAGAGCACTATAGCCGCTATCAAAATAGCATGATGATGATGGGGGCCTCGGATGAATACTTATGCCGTTGGTTCCTTTCCACCTTGGAGGGACCCGCGTATGAGTGGTTCAACCGGTTGCCCGAAGGCAGCATTGATTCTTGGCAAGAACTTGCCCACCGCTTCCTCACACAATTTGCTGGGAGGCATCGCTCAAAGAAGCACTTCTCCCACCTTCTGAATGTGAGACAACAGAAGGAGGAAACCCTTCGGAGTTTCCTGGAACGCTGGAGGCAGGCCTCCCTCGAGGTCGAAGGCGCCGATGACAGGACCCTGATGGCCCTCTTCCACACCGTCCTCCGCAATGGTAACTTCTCCCGGAGCCTTATCACTGATCCCCCCCGCGATTATACAAAGGCCCTTCAGCGGGGGGATCGATACGCTGAAGCGGAGGAAATCGAGAAGGACCGCCGCAACACGGATCCTTCTCAGAAGAATGAAGGCAGGAACCGGCCCGGAGGGCCTCCCCCTCCGGTCCACCGAGAGGCACAGTACAACGATCGCTCCCGGGGTGGCCAAGCCAGATCCGGGGGTGGTTACAAGAACAATCCGAAGGCTTGGGCACAACCCGTCCTCCTGGAACACCCGCGCACTCCCCTGACGCACCCCGTCAGTGTCATTCTTGATCATGCGGAAGAGCGGGGGCTCGTTGAGCGAGACTCCCGCACACCCCTCGAGATTTATGCCATCGACCCTGATGAGCCATATTGCCGCTTTCACCGCCACCATGGGCACAAAACCGACGACTGCCACCAACTGAAAAACGCAATTGAGAGGCTGATACAGGCAGGCCACTTATCTCAGTTTATCAGGGGCCCTCCTCCCCAGGGCCCCCCTCATCATCAAGGGCCTCCGCCGAAGGCAAACAAATGGGTGAACCCCAACACCATCCCCTTGGGAAACCCACAGGGGAAGAAGCGCGAAATTGGGGGCCTCGATGACGAGGGAGAGGGCTCCCATCAACAATACAAGCGCCATATCCATATGATCAACGGCGGCAACACCGGAGGCGATTCAACGAGCCAAAGGAAGAAGTGGGCACAGTCCCTTTACATTGGAGAGGTCAATCACATGCCCCCAACTAAAAGGCCGAGGGCGGATCCAATCTTCTTCACAGATGCGGACCTCCCCTCGGGTTCTCTGCCGCATAGGGATGCCCTCGTCATCCGCACTGAGATCAACGACGCCATCATCCACCGGACTTACGTCGACACGGGGAGTTCTGTCAACGTCATGTATCTCAGCACTTTTCAAGAGTTGGGACTCGACAGAGGGTCCCTCCGACACATCAACACCCCCCTCTCCGGATTCACGGGGGATAGCATCGACGCCGAGGGCGTCATCACACTCATGGTTGAATTCGGCGACGGATCCCATAGAGCCAAGCTCGAAGTGGAGTTCGTCGTCGTCAACCTCGACTGCGCACACAACATCATCCTCGGCCGGCCTGCCCTCGAGGACTTGGAGGCTGTCATCTCCATGAGGCACCTCTGCCTCAAGTTCCCCACGCCTACCGGCATCGGTTACTCGAGGGGGAATCAGAAACTCTCCAGGGCCTGCTACCTTCAGCTTACCAAGAAGGTTAGCAAAACTGAATTTCGAGTTGACACCATCACCACCAAGGCCCTAGAGGAAGAGGAAGGCAGGCCGAGGGCTGAGCCTGCCGAGGAGACCGAGGACTTGATACTCGATCCGGCCAAGCCGGAGAGAGTCCTGAAGATTGGAGCCAAGCTCCCCGAAGACTTGAGGGCTGGCATCACCAAAGCCCTCCGCGCCTACTCCATTGTTTTTGCATGGGGGCCGGAGGATATGCCAGGAATTGACCGAAGGGTCATCACCCACCGCCTTGCGGTGGACCCTTCGGCCAAACCAGTGCAACAGCGGAGGAGACCCCTCTCGGCCGAGAGAAGGGAGTTCGTGAAGAAGGAGGTAGCCATGCTCCTCTCCATCAAACATATCAAGGAGGTGAAATACCCCTCTTGGTTAGCAAATGTGGTCCTTGCACAGAAGCCTCCTACTTTCCGCATGTGCGTGGATTACACGGACTTGAATAAGGCGTGCCCAATGGACCCCTTCCCCTTGCCAAACATTGATCAGCTGGTAGATGAGACTGCGGGATGCGAAATCATGTCCTTCCTCGACGCATTCCGCGGATATCATCAAATCTACATGCATGAGGAGGACGCTGAAAAAACTGCCTTCATGACACCCGAAGGCATCTTCTGCTACCTCGTAATGGCCTTTGGCCTCAAGAATTCGGGCGCCACCTACACCCGAATGGTGGCCAGAGTTTTTCAAGCTGTCCTAGGACGCACCATGGAGGCTTACGTTGACGACATGATCGTCAAAAGCAAGAAGGCAGGCACTCACGCCGACGACCTCCGGGAAATCTTCGCCATCATGCAAAAATTCAACCTCCGGCTAAATCCAAAGAAGTGCACCTTCGGCGTGCAGGGAGGAAGGTTTCTGGGCTACATGGTAAGCCGAAGGGGTATCGAGGCCAATCCCGAGAAAATCCAGGCCATCATCAACATGGAGCCTCCACGCAACGTCAAAGAAGTTCAACGGCTGA